TTTCCGCCTCGAAAATAATTTCAAAAACATTTCGAATATATACGAAAGTTTTCAATGTTCCAAAATTCACTTAATTTAAAAATATTCGAAAATTTTTGAGAATATTCGAAGTTTCAAAAGCCAAAGTTTTTTGTTTCAGTTTCAATAACATTAATTAATTTTTGATTTGCAATGTAACTTAAGCCTTCAATCGGATAATATTCGAAAAATTTCAAATCAAATTTTTGATCATTACGGCAACATTATCTTTATAGGCAAATATTTTCGCCTCAAAAATAAATTAAAAAGTATATCGAAAATTTTCGAAGTTTAAAAAATTTCAATATTTTGCTCACATTTAATAAATTTATATATCTTTTTTATTATTTTCTTTACGGATTTTGTATGTATTTTGAAAATTTATAATCCTCTCAACTCAACCAATAGCGAAAGCACTAACACCACTAAATACTTTAACAGTCCACTAAATACTCAAAACTTGGCCGCAGCGCCACAATGCGTGGCTACCGGATGTTGAAACCCGACTGACAGCTCAATTCAGAAGCAGTTGTCGAAAACGAAAGAAAAATGTTCAAATACACGAAAAAAGCGCAGATTTGTGAGCCCGTGAGCCCGTAGCGAAAGTCAACATGTATACATGCATACTTATGAGTTTATGTTTATCTGTGTGTGTGTACTGGACCGCTTGCTGGTGAAAGTACGGCCAGAAATTTTGAAGCGGCTACAAATTTCGAACTCACTGCCCGCTCATCGGACATGCCGAAGGTTCTTAGTACATTTATATAATTGAAAAATTGTTTATTTAAAGCGCACCATTTCGTCCGGAGGGCCCACTGTGCCTGTGCGCCTGGCCGCAATGTAATTAGCCAGCGGGCTTACATTTTATGTATTTGCAATTTGTTTGATATTTTTTGTTTGTGTATTAATTTCTCATTTTGCGCTGTATTGTGACGCCATAAAATGCTTTGTTGTTGTTTTTTGTAAATGCCTCTTTAATTGCCAGCGACTTAAAGCGATTATTGGCTGTGACGAAGTGACGTCCATTATGGGTTAAACTGGTGGGTGTCGCGTGTGTCGTGGGTGTTTTAGTATTTAAAAGGAATTTTCTGTGGGGGAAAAAACAGCTTAAAAGCAGATTTGTATGAATTTGTAACTAATTTTTAATAGAAGCTTAAAATAAATAGTAAATAAATATATATATGAATATATACATACTATATGCTAACTATAAAAGAAAGAATAGAATCACATACACAAACATAGTGAAAAATTATTTGAGATAGATTTTTTTTGTAATAATAAATAAATTCCTAGTCTGTATGTGCCTTCAAATATTTTACATTAACTTAGATAATCTGATACATCAGACGCACTGCGCTGCTGTGGGTCAAAATTGGATGATGGGCATGACCCCGCCCACTTTATCATGAAATCACACGTCTCGAGACACGCCCGATCGATTTCTACCAAATTGAGGCCGTGACATTCTTCTGATTTAGGTGTTATGTAATGTATTCACTATTCAGTATACAAATCAAGAATGATTTGATATATCTGGATGCAATTTTTTGCCTATGTGAGACATGTGGTTGAAATTCAGAAAGCATCCTTTCGTGATAGCAGTGTGACATGAGTCACAAATGAATTGTATCGAGGATATAACTACCTTAGCCCCCCTATACCTAATATATAGAATATATAAAATTTGAGAGTGCGTGTTTAAAATCCAAAATTAACATTTACTTATAAAGGAAAAATCAATATAAAAAACATTTGCAGTGGACCAAACTGGGAATCTAAACCATTCTCGCATTCTCTTAAACGCACACAAAAAATTTCATCAAAATCGGTCCAGCCGTTTAGGAGGAGTTCAGTGACATATCTCGAAACACGGCGGACCGATATCAACCAAATTTAGCACGCGACATTCCTCTGATCTAAATTTTACCCTAGTCCAGAAATTTGGAAAAAATTGAAACTTTTTCTGTAGAAATCGATTGTTTAGAAATTCAATTTTTTTAAGAATATTTTAAAATGCAAATTATTTTCGGCCTTTAAATTTGTAATTAGTTTTATTCATGAAATAAAATAATATATAATATGAAAGTAGTAAAAGAAAATGTTTTGAATATTTTTTTTTTTTTTAAATTATTCGTTTTTTTTTTTTTTTTTTTTTTTTTGTTTGTGGTAAATAATGAATGTTTTAGCATGTTTTTCATGCAGAAAACATTAATTATTGTTTTATAGTTTAATAATTCTACAATATTTCTACTTATGGTTTTTTCCTTATTTGCAACTAATATTTTTCGTATGTCTATTGCAGCATTGCTGTCCGGTCTATCGGGAATATACTATGTTTAGTATGTATGCCCACTCTATTTATTTACATTAGCAGCTAAAAAGCCTTCAGCGACACGTTTCAAGGCTCATGCTTAACAATCTTGCATTTAAGACGAATTCGTATTTTATATTTCATTTTCCTGAAAAAGTAGAACACACACATAAATGAAGTTTGTATGCTAATGTGCTGAATGTTTATGTGAATATGTATGAATGTATGTGTGTATATATATTTGTTACATTTTATCTTATGAATTTAATTCATAAATGATGAATTTGTGAGATAAAAGCAAATTTGTGCCAAAACAAATGAAAGCAGCATTTTTCTTTGCTGCGCAGAGAGTGTGAGTGCACGCCACTAATTGAAAATGTTTAATAAGAAGCGGTGTGAGTGTTAAAGACAGAAAAAAAAGTAAATAACATCATTTATAATTAAGTAGATAGGCAGAGCGCCTAATGATGAGTGACTGTTGTTGCTTATTTTATGCTTTCGGTTAGCTGAGTGCCTTGATGTAGCCTACTTGAAGGCGCACGATTGACAGATGTGTTGTGTTAGCTAAGAAAGACACCAAAACGTATTCGCTGTGTTTGTTTTTATTTTTTGCTTTCGTTCTCAACAAATTTGAATACGCTTATGTTGGAGATTTAACTTAAATGTTATGCAAAATAAATTACGCAATGTTTTTTGATGTCTTCGGCGTTGCTTAAGCGCATAAGCGACGCAAAACGAGCAGCTGGAATTGTGTGCGCCTGAAAGTAGGTAACACTTAAGTCAGTTAAAATCAGCAACAACGCCGCACATGAAATTAGTTTGCACACAAAGCACTTATTACTAACTAAAAATTACGGCTTACGGCAATATTGTGGTGATTTGTGTGCTTGTTTGCTGAAATTGCGCCGCAATGTATGCACTATCCATAAATAACGATTTGTAAGTGACTTTAATAAATGAAATTGCTGGCAAAATCGCTTGTGATTGGATTTCTGAGTTATTTACAATAGCTTTCAATATTGTAATTTATGCACGCCTATGCGTGTGTGTGTGTATTCTCGCGCCTAAGGCTATGCTCACTTACTACATTTTCTGCTTGCTGTATTTTTTGCTTAGTTTTGCTGCAGTAAGCGCGCCAGCCTCAAGCACATGCCCACTCAAGTGCGATAAATCTTCAGAAAATCTGCAACATATCACATTTAATGGCCAGCAGTGTAAGCTCTTTGATGGTTGAGGGCAAGAAAAGGGCGTTGCGCATGCAAAAAAGTTGAAAAACGTAACAAAAGAAATGCAAACATATTTGCAGGCAGGTTTTCTTTCACTGGCTCGTGCTGGCAAAGTGAGCGGGAAAAAATTGCAAGTGACCCTCAAGTGGAGTCTTGAGTGTGTGTGCTTGCATGTGTATGTGTGAATTACCCATTGGCATTTGTTCATACGTGTGTATGCGTTTTGCATATATGTCGCTCCGCCTCTGGATGTGTGAGCCGTCATTTATTTGCAAAAGGACCCTTGCCGCAGTTTCACATAATATACACACATATGCCAATACTTGCTGCAAAAAAAAAAAAATTTAATCGCTCACAAAAGACTATTTGTTCGGCAAGTCTAGATGGTGGGCCGCTCTTTTTAATGGGCGTGCATATAAAGCGAATAAAACTATACCTAAGCTGCTAGTGTGCATATTTTTTCGTGTTTTTTTTTTTTTTTTTTTTTTTTTTTTTTTTTTTTTTTTTTTTTTTTTTTTTTTTTTTTTTTTTTTTTTTTTTTTTTTTTTGCTATTGTAACGCCTACATACGTACATATATACCTCAGAGTTTTTATTGCAATTTTTTCTGCCCTTTTTCTGCACGTCCTTCTCACGCTCAATGGCGTTTTTAAATTGAAATGTCGCACAGGATATACGAGGCAGTGTTCGTAGGCGCTTGTTTCAATGTGTGCACGCCTTACAGCACTAATGCTAAGCACAATTGCGTTTGTTACCTACTTTTCGTTGGGCTTAGTGAAAAGTCATTGCATAGCAATAGGCTTTTTTTGTAAATATTGGATTTCTGGTTGACATTGATGCTGCTGGACTTCGCAAATGGCAATGGTTGCATGGGTCAAGGTATTGACTTTTATTTTTAGAAAAGGCGTGAAATGCAAAAATTGGTATGGTATAGACATTTTTGTGAATTGTTAAACATTTCATAATATAATTTTTTTTAAACTAAGGAATTTTTAATTGTAGAAAAATTTAATTAATTTTTTTTGTAATTAAATAA